GGGCTTTGTGCTCCGAGCTCAGGGCTGACGCTGGGTGCGAACCCCCCGGGCTGCACGGCTCGGCTTCCCGCCCGAGGGGAGCTCAGCATCCCTGCAGGGCAGGGGGGTGTTCCGCAGCTCCAGCGGTTCCGCCTCACTGAGCCTCGTTCCATCGGGAGTCAAGTAATCCTGTTCACATACAAGGACGGACGAGTTCTTGTCTCGTTAAAAAACGGGATTTGAATAAATAGTCATGTTTGTTAGAGAGTGGGAAACACCAACCTGAGCTTCTGTGTCCCAGAGGCTGGAAATGGGCAAAACGAAGGGAATAAAGGGCACGTTTTTCATGCTGCTGGGTGATGGAGGGGCACTGAAGTCACCAAATGGTCAGCCCGGTGCTGCGAGGCGACTCGGTGTCCTGCAGACACGTCCCCAGAGGGACACGGGGAAGTGCCCCAGCAGCTCCGTGCCCGACCGGGATCCGGCCCAGACCTCCTGGCTGCCAGGCAGCAGCTTCACCAGTTTCATCAAGCAATTGCTTCCCCCCCACGCATTTCTCACCACAATGAAACAAGCAGTGAATGCAGAAGCCGTCTGGGAGAAGCACCCTGGCTTGCCTCAGAGGCTGGAGGAGCAGGACACATCCCTGGGGAAGGGGACACCCCCCATGCTGTGCTGGCCTGGATGGGCACCCAGGGGCAGCCAGGTGCAGTGAGCCAGCCAGCTGGGCTGCAGATCCAGCAGGATAACCAGAGCCATTTTGCATATCCCTCTGGCCAGCTCCTGCTTGCCCAGGAAGCAGATTTTCTCCAGGCAGCCCAGGACAGGAGGGTTGTCATTCACTGCTTCTACCGCCCGTTTGAGCCATGGAAGTACAGCATGTTTCTGCCAGTGACTTATTTCTTGCTGTGCTGATCAAAGAGACAAAAACATCTTGGATTGATTTGCTGGGGCAGCGTTTTGACCAGGAGGGTTTAAGGTCTGTGGGGAAAGCTGGTACCTCTTATGAAATCAGCAGACAGGACAGAACGTGGGGCTAAGCTCAGGGGTTATGTGCCTGAAAGCATGTCTGTGCTCCTTATTTTTTCCATCTGTGCTGGGGGAATCTAAGGAAGGTACTGCTGTCCCTGCAGCCTTTCACCAAACCAGTTGCCTGCTGCTTTCCCAGGGGCTGTTTTATGCCACTGGGGCCTGGGAGAGGTGTGCTCTGTACGTGGCAGGACCAAGGGTATCAACTCCTGTCTGGGGTCTCCCCTCTTCACCCCAGGGAGTTTCCAGGAGTAAGAATGCTGGAGATGGGGAAGGTGAATGAAGGTCCTGAATCAGCCCATGGAGCTGGATATAGCACCTTTCCAAAGCAATCAAGGAGTCTTAGAGAAGCCACAGTCCTGGATCCCCATTGCAGAGGTAGAAAACATTTCCTTTCCAGCAGCCTGCCCAGGTAGCACCAGACCAGGGCTAGGGAAGAGAAGTCAGGGCAGGTGAGAGGCCAAGTCATTCAGTGGCCAAACCACTCTCCATCCTGCCGAGGATTTGCAGTTTGGGCTTGGGCTCCTGGCAGAGAGGTGGCACATCTGACCAGCCCTGGGCATGCTCTGACACAGCTCCTAGGGGCCGTGAGCCCACATCTGGCTGAATAACTTTCCCAAGTACTTTAATTCCCTCCACTGATGTTATTGCAAGTGCACAACTGCAGGACAACGTTTTTATGCCCAGTGAAGGAGGGGACATTCCCTGGGGAACCTGAATGCCAGATGCCATGGTGACAGCTGCCATGGCAAGGACTGCCACCACCCCTGCAAGCCTCAGGGACCAGAGCTGCCATCACAGGGCTGTAGGTGCTGTCTGGGGACATGGGCAGTCAGGTGAGGCCACCAGCCAGGCTTGTCTGGATGCATGGAGGGGAGCTGGACTTCCCAGTGTAGCTCTGCTCACCTCTCGGACTGTTTGTGCCCAGTGGGAAGCCACTTCTTGCACAGGCACTTCTTGCACACAACAGCCTGGGACACTCAGCTGAGGCTGGGAGCAGCCCAGGGGGGAGCTGTGGGACACGGGCTGCTCATGCCACAGCTCCCTAGTGCCTTTCCAGCACTCAGCAACCACAGCGCACGGAGGAGTGGGACATGGAGCAGCAGATCCCCGTGTCCATCTCCCCTCCTCACCCGAGGATGGGCTCAGCCTCGTGCTCTGGCTCTGTGTTGCAGGGGAAAGCACCAGCCTCTGGCCAGGCCAGGGCAGAGGGGAGCTCATGGCTTACTGGGCTGCCCCAGCCCCGCGAGATAATGAAGAGGCGCAAACTCCAGGTGAGAGCTGGGATTCACCCACCCTCCGTGCACGTCGGCTGCGGCTGAAGGGAGCAGGCAGTGCTGCCCAGCCCCTTCCTCACCCTCCCTGCTCTCCTCCTGCAGCAGCAAAAGCTGGGCCCGGGGACATACAACATCAAGGACTTCCTGCAGGAGACAAGGCCCTGCAGCCTCCGGGGGATCTGCAACACCAGGGAGCAGCGGTTCCGGGACGTGCACAAGGTCTGTCCGCCCTGGCACGGGAGGTGCTGGGAACGGTGCCCACCAGCAGCAGGACCTGGCTCTGGGCTGATGCCTCCAGAGAACGAGCCCTTCGCAAGGGACAGAAGGAGCGGGCACCGTGTCCTGCTGCCGGGCTGGGGGCTGTCCCCCTGCCCACAGCCACCTCTCCTCTCCCACAGGATTTCACCCCTGGCCCCGGCATGTACGGGAACCCCTACGTGCACCTGGCGGAGAGGGACCAGCGCTCCGCCGGCACGCGGGGGCTGATGGACAGCAGGACGCCCAAGTGTGCCCTGCCAGAAGTCGAGGCAAGTTCTGCCCCCTGCCCTGGGGACCTGCTGGTGGGGCGGCCCTGTCCCACTGCCCCTCACCCCTCTCCCCCTGCAGGGCAGTGGCCTGGGACCCGGCACCTACAACCTGCGGAGCAGCATCGACGAGGTGGTGCGGCGGGCGGGGGGCTGCCGCCCCCCCCCGCCCTCCCCGCGACAGGAAGAAGCCTGCTGGTGGTGGCCGTGGTGGCCTGGCTGCCTTGGAGGTGCGTGGCCCAGGGGGGTTTCTCAGCGAGCTGTGGCATTGCCAACATATTGCTGTGAGGACGGAGAGCTGCCTTATGTCAGCATAAGGGATGTTGCTCTTTGACTTCCCTTGGATCCTGGAAAAACACACCCATTAGCTAATGCATATTTGCAGCAGTGAGCAGGTCAAGCAGGACAGTGGGCTGGTGCCCCTGAGGAGAAGCAGGGCTGAGGTCTCATGGCACAGGACAGATGGGGTGGCCAGAGAGACCATTGGCAGCAGAGCTTTTCACTTTGCTCCCTCATCCCAGGAGGGGAGAGACACCAAGCGAACCACCAGCACTGTCAAGGGTTTCGTGGATGAGCTGATGTTGAAGGAGAACAAGAAGAAAGGCTGCTTCAGCACCCTGCCAAGGAACCCGGCCTGCCCCACGGAGAGGATCTTCTGGGCCACGCTCAGCCAGTGCCCCAGGGAGGCGGTCAGTGGCAGCAGGGACAGCAGCACCAGCCCGTGTCACCCGTGTCCCTGGTGGTGGTGTGGGTGTCTGGTGTGGGGAGGCATCAGGCGCTGGGGGGGATGGCTGGATGCGTGACAGGAGGGATGGGTGGCTCTCTGATGTCGTGTAGCTCCCTCCACCAGCAAACTGAAGTGTAACAGGTCTCCTTCTGCCCAGTATGCAGTGGGGCCAGGCTCATACGACCCGAAGCCCGTTCAGAGATCCGTGTGCTCCAGCCAACCCGCGTTCGGGTCATCTGCCAAGAGGTTTGACAGGAAGTCCTTCCGGCTCTTTACCGGGAATGAGGTGAGCGAACGGGCACAGCAGGGAGAGAGACAGAAGAATGGTCAGGCTCTGAGCCTCCTCCACAACCATCCCCAGTCCATTACCAGCACCTCTGGGAGAGGACAACACTCTCCTGAGCCAAAGTAAGGGTGAGTGCTCCTCACCTGCTTCAGCCAGATAAACATTAGAGGTGTCCTCTGAAGGAGCAGCACCCCAGCACTGATCTCGAGTCAGGTGTCTCTGATAGAAGGGCAGACTGACCTCAGGAGGTGCTTTTCTTTCCCCATTATCAAGAAAACCTGGGCAACTTAGCCAGGTGCTCCTGTTTTAGAGAGATGAGTCCCTCTCCATGTGCTGTTGTTCTTGCCCAGAACAGGTTGTTAAAGAACAAACAGTGAATAAAAGCCCACAGCCTGATGTCCTGCTAGGTCAAGGGAAAGGTGTCCCTGCATATAGCAGCACATTGAGCACCCTACTGAGCACATGCTGCCTGTAGGCAAGTGAGCTTGTCTGAGCAGAGGGATAGGAGTTTGGCAGCAACCATGTTATCTCTGCCTGCACCTTCAGGCCTTTGCCCTTTTCAAGGGATGCTCAGACAGTTCTTCCCATTAGATTCGTTCTGCATCAGCTGCAAGCAAGTGGATGCACTTCATTGATGAGGGCAGCTGCATTTGAGTCCTTTAGGTGCCAGGACCTCCTTGTATCCTCCCAGAAAGTCACATTCTGCTGCATGAAAATCAGTTTTATATCCTAGCAGCATCAGCAGCATGTTGTAGGGCCAGTGCAGGTAGGAGCCCTTCCCTTTGTACCCATTCCTGTAGCTGTATTAATCTTGGTAGCTTCCCTATGGAGAACCAGAACAAAGCCTAAAGGACTCAAAGCAGACAGGGAAAGCTTTAGTCTGAAATAGTCCACCTTGGCTAGGGAGGAGGAGCAGGCTTCCACAGCTTCTCTCCTTTATCCAGCTGAGTGGAAAACAGGCAACTTGAAAGGGGTCAAGGATGAAGAAATCTTCCTAACTGCTGGGGAACTTGACAGATTACATTTCAGTGGGGAGGCTGTGACATGGCAGCCCTTCACTACAGTGTGCAGTAGGTGACTGGTGAGTGTGCTCAAGCCCACAGACCTTACTGACTTATTTATGGACCACTGTGCTAAAGAAAAACTGTTGATGAAGGAGACAGGCTGGGCTAACACCTGTTAGTGTGTCTTTTCCTCCCTCCCACATGATACAGGCTCAGCCTGCTTAAGATACACCCCATATTGTTGTATGTTTTGCAACCGAAGGCCTGGCCACAGGAAAGCACCACCTGGTTTTGACCAACTCACCCTCCCCACGCTGCCTCTGGATGAGGAAGCCCATAAGACCTTCTCCTTCCAGAACCATGTAGGTGTTGGTCGCTACGACATCACCAGGAAGGAGAAATACCCCCCAAAGATGAGGTACCAGTCCCTGTACCGGTGCGACACGCAGCGTTACCTGAGCGACCTGCAGCGGGACACCTACTTGCTGTAAGTCTGACTGGCAGGGCTGGCACTGGCAGGAAAACCACCTTGGGCAGCCCTGAGGAAACCAAGAGCACGCGTTACTGACACGACAACTGACATGAAACAGGATGACCCTGCAGTTAAAGCACTGAACCTGGATTGAGGAAGGCCCACCAACCCTCCCCCAACCTGTGGATGGGGAGGTTGGGATTGCTGCCCCTCTCCTCTCCCAGGAAAGGATGGAGAGCTCTGTGCTTCCCCACCACAGAGGGGTAGTGGGAGGGTTGAAGAGCTCCTGGCTCTCAAGGCACTTCTCAGATGCCAAGGTGGTAGTTTTATCTTGTGAAATGTAATTTGCCTGCAGTGGAGGTGTAGGCAAATAGTTTCCATAAGTTAGAGGAGGTAGGCTGGGAAGGAGCTGGGAGGTGGATGGATAATCAGGCTGTCTGGGCTCATTCCCAGTGCCAGCACTGGACTGTGCAATGGCCCTGAACACAAATCACCTTCTCAAGCTGTGCTTTGTTTTGCCCATCTGAGGAAGGAGGGTAACAAGGCTCACTTCCACTGCAAAGAGCTTTGAAACTGCTAGTATGAAAACCCTGTGAAGCAGTTAGGAACTGCACTAATGAGAGCCCTCAGGGTAGCCCTCTGCTCTCACCTTTGCTTGTGGCCAAGATTAGCGAACTGCTGCGTGGCACCACGGGCTGGCAGCTCTGCTAAGGCCTGTCTTGATCTCCAGAGGGTAGTTGGAAACTGGTCTTGGCTGTATATACCTCAGCAGCTTCAGTGGGGCAGCCAGAAGTTAGCTGTCCTGTGATGGAGAAAGCACAATGCAATCCAGCTTTCAGTATTGCCCAGCTTTGTTAATTTTGCACTTCCAGAAGGAATGAAAAAGGAATCTGAACAGCGAGCAGGACTCGGGATTCAAACACATCTCTCTGATCAAATAGCACTAGCTCCAAAATCACTTTTCAAACTACAGCTCTGCTTTCTAGGGAATAGCCAGGCTTTTAAGAGCTCTGTTCACCTCTATGCTCATTAAGTCTAATGAGATTAATCCAGCCAATAATCTGAACCCACTGAATCGCATCCTTTTTCCACAGTGAGCGGCTCAGGCCTGTTGCTGAAAACAAATGGAGTGGTTTGATTTCTGCTCCACGTTGTCCAGATAACTCTGCCCCTGCTGTTTTCCAAACATAAGATGGTGCTGGGAAGCCCAAGTCAGCAAGTAAATGGCAGACAGGCCAAAGGAGGAGATGGGCTGGATGAAAATACAGCGTTGCTGTTCTGCAAAGCAAGAATAACTCAAGTCTTTTTCTATGGTAATAAAACATTCCTAGACAATCAGCAATCTAACTGTTCTGTAGAGTAGTTAATAATTTCCACCTTGACCTTCTAACCCAGCCTATCCTATGATTCTATATACCTGTCCTCTGCCATCTTTCAAGTGGCTGCATGCAAGGATCTTCATCGCAAGTTGCAACGTCCAGCTCCACCTGAATTAAAAATGCAAGTGTTTATAAGCAGCTGGAGTGAGCTGGGGGGAATTTAGTGTCATCGTTCCACATTTTTTAGGGTATCAAAGCCTAGAGGCAATGGAGAGAGTGAAATGAAGAGATCCATGTCAGTGGCAATGAAGGAGGGCCGTAAAAACATCCTGTGAGTACTCTGGTTCACTTAAGAGTTAACCTTTATGAAGTCTTGCATTAGTGGGATAATTAGATATCAACTGGGATAATTAAATCTAGGTGTAATTACATCTTAGTTGTGGCTGATTAAATATGCTAATTAAATCTGCAATTTTCCTTTGGTGGGGCAGGTAACACAGGTAAAAGTGGTGATGTAAGGAAACCTTGATGATTGTCCTAGAGAGGCAGGTGAAGGAGGAAGGAGGCCCCTGCAGGGAGAGGCCTGGGCAGGGCTGTGGGGGAGCAGAGGAGGGTTGTGAAACGCAGCGTCAGGCGGGGCCAACACAGGGCGTGATGAAAGGGCTTTGGCACCTGAGCTGCAGGTTCAGTGGGGCTGAGGCATCTGGCAGCCTGGATTGCAGCAGGAAGCCTGGAAGCTTCTCTCTGGGAAGAAAGCATGGGGAGAGGATGCACCAGCTGTGACAAGGCAGGGGCAGGAATACCTTCAGCTACATCCACAGAGCTGCTGCTCAGGCTTTTCCGAAGGCAACAGGAGCTGTGGATGTGAAACTCCTCCAGCTGAAGAGGGCACTGAATCTTTATCCTCGCTCCTGTGGCTGCTCAGTCAAACCAGGGATTAGATTTCTTAGTATCAAGTAAAAATTAATTAAAAGACACCACTTGGAACAGTACGCTGGCTAGATCTTTATTTTAAACAGCCCGTACAACCAAAAATTAAGAGCAACAGCAATTATGTGTGTGCATGTGTGTGACTGATACAGTTACAGTACCCAATCACGTCATACAAGGTTTGCCAATAAATTAAGGAGTGAAAAAAACAAATACAGTGCATACCTAAAGATCATCAGTACATAAGTGAGAGAAACACAGCCCAAGTATTTGCATATCCTCTAGCTGTATCAACATTGCCCTTTAAAAGCTAACCAACCCCCTTCCTGCTCCGTGCAGATTATTTTACAGGCACTGGGCTAAACTGTAGCTTTGTGCCAGGGACAAGGAAACGGCTCCTGTGCTGCTTCCTTGGCAGGGGCAGGAAGGCAGGTTACACCCTGAGAATGTGTGTTTGCCTTCTGGTGTTCCCCAAAGCCTGGAACAGTGTAGCAGACACTCCTGGATCACTGACACAGCCCTGTGGCCTGGGCAGCACTGCAGGTGCTCTGCACTGGCTGGGTCTCCCCTCGGCAGGCTGCCCCTGCGTGGGGCTCTAGGGAATACCTTATCTGCACACCATTTGCCCAGCATGCATCACTGAGTAACAGGGCAGACTTATTTTTGTTACTGCTTTATCATTGGTTTCATCTGGACCATAAATATCCATCTATCAATAAATAAAATCATTGGTTTAGCACTCACAAAAATGACATTGCCTCGCAGTGGGAACTGTTCAAAAAGCTCTTCGTGTTACCCCCAGTCACAAGCCCCAAGAAAATTACTTTCTCTCAAGCTCAGTAAGGTTTTAATTAACAATTTCAAGCACAGCTTGGACAAGAGATGAGCCTGGTTTGGAACCATGTTTCTGGCTACAGGGTCAAAACATTTCCACACTTTGTCACTTGAGTGTGACAGTGCAGTTCTCAGCAGCAAGTGGCAGAAGGGGAACTGAACAGCACTTGCTGTTGGTTTCCTCTGCAGGTGACTGAAACAATCCTTTTACAAAGCCTATCAACCTACTCCAGCTAAAATGAAAAGCAAAAATGGCACTCAAGTCAGAACCAAAGCCTGTGTGTGTATCAAGATTCACAACAAGAGTTCTCATCCACAGCTTTAACAAACCTCGTTATAAATAAAGCCTTGACTTTATTTTCCTACTGGCCAGAACAGAATGGTATGAAGTAAAGCACATCCTCCTCCAACTGAGTATTTGTAAGGCACTAAAATTAACCAACAACCAAAAATCAACACTCCTCCCCAAACAACAAAATAAAATTGAAATAAACACAGCCACTCCCAGTACAAACTGAAATTAATAATTGCCTGTATGAACTAGCAGCATTTTTTTTTTCAGTTGTCTGTGAAGCCAGAACATTTGATATTTTGGGGCAAAACCCAATGCACTGTTAACCAATTAAAAAGTACCTAAAACCTACATCCACTCATACTTTATAATCCAAATCAGTCCAAATCAGATAGGCACAAGTAAAAAGCATTTCCTTCCCACCTCCAGGCTCACTTGGGAAGCTGAAGCCCCTGTCAGGGGGTTGAAGTGCCCTGTCTGGATCTCAGCAGGGTACCACTCCGGCAGCAGAGCACCACACTGCACCACCACCAGGCTGTGGGACCAGCACTAAGCTGTCCTTACAGGGTTACCACTGGAGGTAAACGGTTTTAACATTATGATTAATTTGACCAAACATTCAACTTTGGCACCTACTCCTGACCCCTCCTTCCAATTTCCAAAAGTAATGTTAAATATAGCTATGATACACAGCTGGTGTGACTCCAGTATCTTCCTCCTTTCCCATTATTTTTCTTATGCTTGGAAATAGGCAGATTCACCCATGTCACAACATTAGATACAAAGGCTAGCACTAAGATTTCTTAAAAACAATCACTCTGAGTTTGGAAAATGTTTTTTAAAACATACGAAGAAATACTAAACATAAATTCATAAAGCAGGAATTCATACCTTTAAACATCAGCAAGAATAAGCTTATTTGGAGAGCAATAAAGCTTTGCTTTTTTTTTTGAAAAGGACCTACTGACTAGCTATAGGTAATTTCATTTTTCCCTGATTGCTTAGATGATTAGATCATCCAGGCTCAGTGCCTGGCAGCTTTGCAGATTTTATCATACACTTCTGGAAAGGCATCCTTGCAATTCATTTGCTCCCTCAGCTTGTGGTATAAGGAACCATCAAACATATCCCAGAACTCCTCACGGGTCATGTAGCAATCTGCATACAGCATCTGGAAACTGGAGGGGGGGCAAGAAAAAGAAAGAAGAGAGAGATTCAGTACTCATTATGCTGTATTTCAAATGGTGGCACTAAAATTTAAAAATCAAGGTGGGAAAAGAAACTGTTGCTTTTAAAGTATGTGTTGGGAATGCTTCTTTAGCCATACACGTATTAATACTGACATTCGTTTTGCTACTTCAAAGAGAAAAGGAGAAGGACCCAAAAAAGTGTATAGAACAGCAGTTCATCTTTGGACATCCTAACCATGTGAGGCAGATCTTCTGACAACTTGTATCCTAACAACTGGTGTTCACAGAAACACAAGTCTCAGAAATCCTCAGAACTTCCCCAAATCCACAGTCTGGCCCCTTGCACTGAACCTAAATTCTCCCTGACAAATACTTTTTAAACTGCTTTTAAATGCCTGCTTTCATTTTTATTCCATTCAAAACCTTTTAATCTCAGCCTCAAAAAAAAAAAAGAAAAAAAAAGAATTTTGTATTTTTTCTGCATCCTTTGCTGTGATCCATGGAGGTACCATCATGGTGTCTTGTACTACAGTTTCCTTGAGCTGGACCTTGAGAATATAACTGGGAAGGCAAAACTCTGCCAAATCAGACCAGGCTGATAAGATAAATTAATACTGCAAATGAAGCAATGGTAACAAAGGTCCACTTACAAAAATAAATTAAATCCTTATTTAGCTGTGGGCTCTTCCTTACTCTCATACTGTGTGCTTGGAGATGCAGCCAGCATGACAATACAGCAGTAAAAGTCAAATGTTACATAAAAGCTCTGCTGTTGTGTATGATTACAAAACGGAAAGATTAGACATTATTCATTGTTCATTTCCCAGTGACAGGTAGAGAAGAGACAAAACTTTGCTAGTAAAGAGTTTTAAATTAAAAGCTTAATTTCAAGTTAATTAAAAACAAGCTTAAAATTAGCTTTTGGTTGCTTTGTTCTCTGGCAGATCACTTACTGCAGCTCAGAGTAATTTACACTCTCCAGATCATCTTGAAGCAGATTCACCATCATTACTCAGCCACATGGGATGTAATCACTGTTAGACTGAGAATTAGGTCAAAACAGAAATGTGGATAACTTATACTGATGGTATAAAAATACCCTGTAGTTGTTTTTTGCTCCTGAGAAGCAAGTCTGTAACTGCTTCTCCACTGACACCACCACAACAAATTAGGCTGGCACGAGTCTGTGACAGATGGTGGGCACATACCTCACGCCTACTGCGGGCCTATCTAACAAGAATCGGGGCAGGGAAAAGGAATCTATGCAAGTACAAGTGGTGAGGGAGGAAAGACTTCCCCATGGCCAGCAGGGAAGAGTCAAGGCTGGCCCCTCTGTGCAAGGACACAGCAGAGTAAGGGCACAGCAGAGCAAAGATGGGGCAGAGCTGCAGCACGACTGTGGGGAGCAGAGTGTCCCAAGGGCAGACAGGGAAGCTGTCCAAACAGGCTGTGGGATTCCTGGAGGGACTGCAAGTAACTGTGGCCAAACCAGCACTTGCTGTGCCCTTGCTTTGAGCTGGCCTGAAACAAGTCAGCCTTGAACAAGCTCAGTGTCTGCCTTCCCAAGGGTCAGGCCAGACAGCCTCACTGACAGCAGGCACCCACCCAGGGCAACAGGCTGTGGGACACTGTGTGGCTTATGCCCAGTCAGCACAGACCTGCTGAGGCCCTCTTGCCCCTGGCTGCAGGGATGGACACTGTGGCAGCACAGAACTGACTACCAGAGGAGCCTGGGGCTGAAAGGATGCAGGGTGACCTGAAGCTACCCAGCTCCCAAACACATTGCAGGAACCTTCAAACTGAACTTTAAACTATTCTTTTTTTAAAATGTAAGAGGGCAGATTTAGGTTAGAAAGAAATTCTTCACCAGGAGGGCAGTAAGGTGCTGAAATAGGTTACCCAGGGAGGCTGTGGAAGCCCCTCCCTGGAGGTGTTCAAGGCCAGGTTGGATGAGGCTTGTGCAGCCTGGTCTGGTGTGAAGTGCCCCTGCTCACAGCAGGGAGGTTGGAACCTGATGGTCTTTAAGGGCCCTTCCAACCTTAACCATTTTATGATTCTATACTTTCAGTCAGTGTGCTTGTTGGGTTGGTTGGTTTTACAATCAAATAATGGAAGTGAAATGATACTTTAAAATCCTGACATCAACACGAGTAATTACAATTAGTTTTCAAGTATTGTGGTTGCCACATTACTGCCATGTTAAAGTGCTGTGGGATTAAGTAACTCTAGTTAAACCACATGGGTGTAAATTACAAAGCATTATTACTAGTCTAAGGGGTGGATCCTTACCCATGCACACTTCTTACAAACTTTTCCATTTGCCTCATCGAAGCCCTGGCTTCAAATTGTTTCCTTTTGGGTTCTCCATAAGCTCCTATATCCACATAGAGTTCTGCTTCATCCCCTTTTGGATGAACCATACCTGGATTATTTGGCAATATGAAAGGACATAACCAAAGAGGGTACACCTGCAGAGGTAAGAAAACTTTATCACTCATTTTTAATATAACAATATTTTCAGCTATCTCTTAATAAAGGTGACAAAACTTAGAGTTAAGAAGATTTCTTCCCGATTTAGAGTTGAAATTTACACACTCCTCCCTGTCCAGTTCTCTTGATCTAGTTCTTAGGCCCACTTTTGAATAGAAATAGATTGAGATGCTCAGAGTATGGGCTGTGTGGTCCTAGAATTACATCTCCTCCCCCTTAAATATTTGAAATTTTAAAATCCAGGACAGTCCAAACCTGAAATTTCCAAGTTCGTGCTTCTTATACTAATAAATATAAAGTAAGAAATAAAAGCTAGAGAGGGAAATTAATTCCCACAGCTGGGGTTTAGTGAGAGCATCAGTCATTTTAGGTGAAAGAAAAACCAGTTCAAGTTTTACTATGTGATCGAATTTTCTAGAAGTGTTGGCTTTCTACTAAAGTTTGAATAACACTGTTTAAAATTATTTATTTATTTTTTCAGAAAGCTATGCTAATGTCTCCCTGGCATCACAGGCTGGCACAGCACTCCCCAGGAGAGAACAACGACCTTTCACACAAGCAGACTACTAACAGCTCTTGTCACACCCAGTCCAAGACTCACTGCGTCTTAAAAACGTGTCCTTACATTAAGGTCAACGTGGAAGGTCTGGATAGATTTTTCAAGGCTCTTCATTGGCACCAACATGTCTTGAACAACGTGGTGCTGCTCATACAGCTTCCGAATAGCTTCTCCTTGGGTGAGTTTTAACAAAGAGATTTTTGGAGGAACCATCCAGCCAAAGAGGTAACGGAAAACCGGGTTATTGCCAAAAGGAATGATATCCTTTGAAGAGGAAAGAAAAAAGGTTTGCCTTAAGAATGTGTAAGTGAACCAAAAGACTCATTCAGAATCCTCAGAGCAATGTAAGGCAGACTTGTAATAAATGTAACTGCTAATACTTTTGCTAAACTTCTGTAACACAAAAATGAACAACTAAAAGAGGCCGGGACTGACCAGCCCTGCCCTAACCCTCCTCTGGTTACAACGATGAATTTTTAGTCACATGAATCAAAACACACTCAGCCCCAAATACTTTCAGACAATGAAGTTCAGAGAACGGTCAGTTATTATCTTAAAGCAGCTCAGGAAGGAGCACCTAAGAATCTAAACTTACAGGACTCCGGCAAGAACAAAGCAAAACAAGATTGGGTCTTAAAAGAATTTTAAAGCTGTAACATTTTTAGAACTTCCTGCATAGCCAACTCCTGCTTAACTTCTCTGGTCTCTCACTCCAGAGATTCAAAATGTACAAATGGGATAATCTTTCAGAATGCCAGCTGAAGAGATGTGTAAATGCACATCACAACAAATACCTTTATGAAATATAAAATCATGACCTTCCTGCGTTATTACTATTCTGAGTTTAGGGAGGGCAAAACTTCAGCCATAATTTAACATTCATATTTTTTCCACCATCTGCCTTTGAAAATCACTGAATGGGTGCACAAATTTACTGCTGAAATAGGTACTTGAGCTTTAAATTCAGAAAAGCATTAAAATAGAAATTAGGAGGATATGATGGAATGCCTTATCTATAAAGAATTGTCTTTGGATTTCTTCTCTCCAAATGCAGGACTTTTACATTGGCCATAAACTTCACTGTTTTTTTCTGCCATGAAAGACAGAAGTGTTGCCAGAGGGAAGAAGGTACATTGTACCTACACCTGGAGAGAGCAGAGCACCTTCCTGCAGATGTTACTTTAACTTTGGAACTGGTCTTACTTGAAGCTCCCAGAAGATACTGCGTGTATGTCTGTGGTAATAATGTCTTGAGGGAATGTATTCTGTTCCAGTCCTGTCATCTTTCAAATACTTCTCCACATGCTTAAAGAACCATGGCTTGTAGTAGTTGCCAATTCTGTTTATCTACAAGGAAAAAAACATTGGTTAGCAAACAAACTGCTACACCTCACTAGACATCAAGTATTTCCACAAATGCCTTTACTGTGAAGAATGAATCTTATACCCTCCCTGACAGTTTGAATGACACTGTCACAAGAGATCTAGGGAGCCTTCATTTCTCCACAGGCATGGCTCCTTCTTACTTCTCTTGCCATTAAAGCTGAAGTTGAATGAGGTTTGCTAAGCTTTGCCTGTTACAAGTTAACTAAGGCCATGAATGTGACAGAACCAGATTCCTAAAATGCCAATGACTCAACCCATTGTCTCACTATGGCAGAGGAGAAACACTCAGGTTGAGGGTTGCAGTGAACATTTAGTGCAGCCCTCCTGTAAATGTCCTTGATGTGTTTTACCAGTAAAAATTATTAAAAGCTCGCTGGGCAAAGAGTTCCTCTGGAAAACTGCAGTTTAAAACAGCACGGTACTGTATATGGGAAAAGAAACTTCTCCACCTCCTGAGGCACTGCAAGGAAAAGGCTGCACACTAAACTGTTTGCTGGAACAATTAACTCAGTGGGTCATTTCTTATCAACTGAAGAGATTCAGAGTACAGACTCTCTTGTAGTAACAAAGAGCTGTAATGTAAAATATTCTAACTTTTAAAGCCACGTTTAGAGACTGTTCCAATCTCATAATAATTTTGGTTTCAGAATGGCCTACAGCACATATAGCTTCAGTTAAAACTTAAAGAGTAACTTCCCTTTAGTTACCTTGCTTTGCTCAGCTTCATCAGTCAAGACTCCTGTCATGATGACTGCTTCTTCCAAAGAATACACAAGTCCTTCCACAAAACTATTCTCTTTCTTCTTAGATTCTTCAGTAAACTTTTCACAAATCTTCTGCAGTCCCCTCACAGGCTCGTAATATATTCTGACATATTTCTTGGCAGGAATCATCTTTATTTCTGCTGCAACCAGGAAACCCAGAGTACCACAAGACCAAGGCACTGCATAAAATAGGTCTGAGTTTTCAGTCTGCAAAAAGTATGTCATACTAAATCATATATCCACACTGTAAGTGTCAACGACATTGTAAATGATAGCAAAAGAACAGTTTGTCTTACTGGTGAACATCTCACAAGGCTTCCATCAGCAAGAACAAGTTCATAGGCCACGCAGGTGTGTTGGAAAAGTCCATAGATATGGGATGAAGACTCAATGCCAGTCCCCATGATCAGGCCACCTTATCAAGAGAAAGACATAACACATCAAATGGAAAATACTCCAGAGGTGCTTTACCAGAACAAAACCCCACTTTAAAGCTTTGGGTGTGGCTTTGAAGACTAGTAACAAAAATAAATAAACAATGAAGTGCTTATAACATAAATACCACAACAGAAGGTTCAACCAAGTATTTCAGTGATCTTTAAAATACTGCAACATGTTACTGCATGAGAAGCTAATGAAAATGCTGCAAAATCAGTGAGTCTCTGCTCACCAGAAAGACCCTTACCTACAGTGAGATCATCAAGCTCTGGTACCACAGGAATAGTCCAGCCCATGGGATTCAGGTGTGCAGTCAACTGGCCCATGGTAACCAAAGGTTCCACACGAACAACCTAAAAGCAAAAAAAACCCCTCAATTCCCCTCATGAAACATAAGTTGAGTGTTCAGCATCAGCAATGACAAAACGTGACTAACTGGATTGTACTTCCATCTGTTACCAGAATTCAGGGACTTACTTTCCTAAGAGCACTACTAAAAATAGTTGAAACTGTTTAGTGATTCCTCCTCTGCCTCAACATCTTGTTGCTCAGTCCTCAGAGCCACAAATGAATCTGGCCTTACAGCTAAGCAATTCCATATGCTGGGTTTTTTTTGATAGAATGATCCAAGCACACCTTCTAGGACTTTACATTTGGTGGGTCTACTGCTACAAATACCTTTGCTCTTCATGGGATCCAATCTCTTCTTGAGCTACAAACACAGTAAAAAAACCCCACTAACTTAATTACTATGGAAGCTTTCTGATTGATTTGTTACCTGTCTTTCACTGTCCACTTCCAGAACATCCATTAGGTTGATCATGATGTTCTTATGTGTCTTCTTGTACTTTCCAACACGAAGTGACACAGTCAGCCAGCCAGGACGGCCAGTGCACATGTATCTCTTGCTGCCTTCCTCCTTCCATTGCCGAACCTGCAAGAGGAAACAACTGAGCTGATGCTGTAAGGCACACACACGTTGTGAATAATGAGCACTGGAAACACTTTTCCCCCTAAGTAAGTGTTTGGAAATACTGTTACTCCTCTACATGCACGTTACCTGCCAGGAACAGAGCCTGGTTGTCTCTGTGTTGAGCTGAGATGCTTTGGAAACCTCTCTTCAGACCTCTGAACTTCTAAATGTAATTTATAGAGGGGTCTATTTATGCAGAGGAAGTATTTCTGATACCCCACAGCTTTTGGGTTCTTTTGGAGACAGGATTCACAAAACTTGCCAGAAACTGACAGTTTTAAGCACCCACAGGAAAACCCGTGAGGGGGTTTCTCTGGGGGAGGTATTATCATTGTCATAGATAATCTTAGTTCTGTGAAGGGTCATGAAGTAACGAACACACCTCCTGAACGCACCGAAAAACGGGCTGAGCCTGGGAATGAAGAAGCTAAAGGACCAAAGCTGAGCAGGGACAAGTGTGAGCCATGAACAGGATCCACGACCAGCGCGGTCAGACGCGGAGAACGAGCACGAGCAGCAGAATTCCCTGCTCAGCCCCGCGGCCACCGCGGCTGCTGAGAAAAAACCCCAAACAACCCCAAACCCTGGAAGAACAGCTCCGCGCACGTCTGGGCATCCCCACCCGCAAGGAACACGCGGCCGGACTCGGATTCCGAGCAGCAGAGACGGACGGAACGGCCAGAAACACGAGAGAGCGCAGAACCGAAGCACCAAACCCCCCCCAGGTGGGGGGGG